CCTGGCTCCAAGCCCCAAAAGAAGGATGTGGCTCTGGACTGGCTCACCTTCAAAGTCCTCTCTGCTGGTCATCTATCAGATGCAACTTTCCCAAGGACCTGCCGCAAGGAGGACCAAGCCTGGGGCCAAGCCAAATGGGCAAAAAGCCCCAGAGGAGAAGTGGGTTCAAGAGTCTGAACATCATGCATCATTTCCAGGCAACCTAAGAAGTTAGGCTTTCTATTCACCTTGAAGTACCAGGCAGAGCCAAACATCACGCTCCAGAGGGAGGAACTAAGAGCTGGGTGTGCATGCTGAACCAGAGAGATCGCCAACACCACTGACTCCCCATCTGACTAATGGAGCTCCTTCTGGCTCTCTCCTGTCACTCCAAATACTGCATGGCTTCTGTCCCCGACACTGCCCCTTTGGAAGTGTGCCCTGTTTGGGTCCATGGCCATGTCAGTTACCCAGTCATCTGAGTCAGAACAGTGGGAGTCATCTCTGACTCCTCCATCTCCGGCACCCCCCTGATGATCAAGTCCTGGAGATTCTATGCCAAACCTTTCACCCCTCTTCTGAGCCAACACTGCCTGTTACCTGGGTCATTACCCCTAGCAGGTCTCCTTGAAGCCAAACTTGTCCCTTTCCATTTCATTCTCTATATGACATCCAAAGTAGCCTTTCAGAACCAAACCTGAAACCATCTTGGCTTGAATTCCTGATGGCTTCCCGCTGCTCTCAGGATCAGGGGAGAATCCTTAGCATGGCTCCATGCCTCAGCCCCTGCCTGCCTCTGAAGCCACAGGGCGCCCCCTCACTGTCCACCCTCTCTTGCAGCCAGACTGGACTGTTGAATTCTTCAGATTCTCTATTCTCCCCCTCATCACTGGATTCCTGGATTCCTACCCCTCATCACTCTGTCAGATTCCAGACACGGTGACACCTCCCTGTCTAAGCTCCATGCCACCACCTTAAACCATGCCTCTCAGGCCGGATTGTTTTATACTGTCTATCATTTGCACTTGGTCATAAGCTCCATGAAGGCAGGAGCCATGTCTGTCTTATCACTGCTATACCCTTGGCATCTAGCCCACACTTGGCACAAGCAGTCACTTCAAGTAATTTGGAGGAGTGACAGCATTCGCTCAGGCCTCTTTATTAGAAAGAAGAGCAGAAATGAACTGGCAGGCATCTCCCACGATTACACACTATAAAACAAGATTTCTCCCAAAATTCTTGGAAAGACTCGTTCAGTTAAGGGGCACCCAGGAGGGCAGATCGATCCAGTGCTGTGCGTGGCCACATAACCACAGTAGGAAAAAAGTGTTTGGATGCCCCAGACAGTCGACCAGATGGCTGTAATCCCTCCTATGGCAGTGATATGGGATTCTGGCTGTAATTCAGTCTTGTTCTGATGAGTCTAATACATTTTCCTATTGCTTTGGTGACAAGTACCTGGCCTTGGGACTTCTTCTCCAGCAACCCATGAGGACGGTAGAGATGCGAGGATGGATATGAGAGATTCTATGGAAGGAAAATCTACAGGACTCAGCCATGAGTGGACATGAGGGCTGTTAAAGCGATTATAGATGCTAGGACTTCCTGCTGAGAGGCCTCTGGGGGCCCAGAGTGACACAAAGACTAACCCGCAGGATGTTGGAAGCCAGCAGGGCAGCATCATGCTAACAGAATCACCGGAAGAGCCCTGGGGGTGTTTCCCACCTAATTCAAAGGGACACATTCTGAACTAGGCTCATTTACATCCAGAAAATCCTCTCACAGTGAAATATTTGTTGACTTCTTCAACTCTGAGCCCTCAGCCCTTCCATCCCCATAAACCATGTCATGATAAGCAGTTGTGGCACCACCTGGAGGACTCTTACCCTCCCTTGGAGATCTCATCTTCCTCTGGTAAGCGGTCAGCTTCCTGCACAGAACCGCCCCCTCCCGCATCCCTAAGCCCTGACATTTCTGGATGGGTCCTGGCTTCATTCAGCAGACACGTATCTTCATGAGTATTGCTTCCACATGGAAGATTACTGGATCAGACAAATTCCAAAATTACATAAACCATGCATGGCGCAAGAATAAAGGCAATGCTAGATGTTTAAGAAGCAAAAGGGGCACAGGTACAGTAAAGCCCAGGTCTATTCCTAACCATCTGGGAGACCTCAACAAGTTTCCTCTCTGAGACTCAGTTTCCTTCATTTCAATCAAGATTTTACTAGCATCATAGCAGTTTTATGAGACTTGAGAAAAACAATACACATTAAGTGCTTCACTTAGAGCCTGGCATATAACAAGTGCTCAGAATCTGTTATGCTCACTAGACTGTAAACTCTAGGGGTGCAGGGATTGCATTTCCCTGTTCATTGCTGTGTCAATGGGTCCATCAGTTCACGGCCCACGGAAGTACCCACTTGATATTTGTTGAAAGAATGAATAAAGGTTGTTACTCTGTTCAAACAGCCAGGAAATACAGGATGAAAGAGAGAGACAAGGAGGGGAGGGCAGGCAAAGGGGCCTACTTATGGAGAGCAAAGGGAAGAAACACTCACCCAAGTCACCCAAGCAGAAAGTCAAAGAGTATCTGTTCCCATCTGGATGGAGGCCACCTCGGCAGTACTGGACGACAAAGAGGACTAAGTGTTGGAGAGGAGTGAGTGATGGAGAAGACTGAGGGATCGGGAGGACTGAGTGATGGGGAGGACCAAGCGATGGAGAGGACTGAGCAATGGGGAAGACCAAGTGATTGGGAGGACTGAGTGATGGGGAGAATTAGTGCTACCCCTATCAGTAGCAAAGGGAATACAGAAAGAACAAATCTGGGGAAACTCTAAACTAATTTAGGTTTTCACTTGTTTAATTTGAAGAGTCAACTTGTCACTAAGGAAGGCTGTGGATCAAGCAAAAATACCACGACTAGCTCTCCTGAAAGGGACTCCAAAGGGAGGTCAAGGCTGGAAAGACAGGTGTTAGGGCTGCAGCCAAGTCACGAGTACATCCAGAGAGAAGTGTTAGGGCCAGACCCTGGAAAACAACTACCGCCAGAAGATAAAGGGAGGCCATTTCAAAATTAACACCCTTTCCTGACTTCTTGTCTTCAGAAATTGTTGGCTTCAACTGTGCGGAGGAGTGATCAGTGAGGTGTGTTGGACTGGTCAGAATTACGTAAGGAGATGAGAGCTTAGGGAGTTTTGACCACGCCCCATCCCAGCACAAAGGACCACAGAAGCATGGTCCCACGCTGTACCTGAGAGCGTACACCGCTTCCTCATTTTATGGCACTGGTCTGCTTTCATCTCGGCCACCGAGAGTAAATAGGCACCAGAAGCATCATAGCCGGTCTCCAACAGCACATTCCAGTAGTGAACGAGGTGTAGCCGTGTCCAGAAACTCGGGTTTTGGATCTTTGATATGAAGTCTGTGATGCTTGTGACACAGTGTATTAATGGACACATTTTAGTATTTCATGCCTTGAAGAAGCTCTTCTACCATATTTTATTAGCCCATTCATACTTCTTACCTAACATGACTTTGTAAGTCACCAGATACCTAGGAGCCTTTCACTCTTCAGCAGTCAGAGCCAGTTCTCTTCAAGGTTCAGAATGCCTCCTCCTAGGGGCAGCCTCCCTGGATCTGCCAGGCAGAGCCCCCCACCCCGGGCTTGGACACTCATTTATTGTGCCACTGCTGCAGTGAAGCATGACCACCGTCTGGTCCCACATCTTCCCCCACTAGATGGACAGCACCACTAGATGGAAAGGCTTAGGGCTATACCTACTGATGTCTGTACCCTCTGGGCCTAGCACAGGGGATATAGATAGATGTTAGCTGAATCAATGCTTAATAGGAAAAGAAGGAAGGGGCAGGGCAGGGAAGGGAGGTGGTTGGGAGAGAGTGGCGGGGAAGTGAAATAGCACAGGGAAGAGAACCTAGCCAGTCCCCTTAGCCTTTCGCACCCTTCCTCCTCATCCTCCTCTCTCCAAAATGTCACCTCACTTTGAGGGGAATTCATGTGGGGTCAAGAGAGGATACGAACACACTGCAGAGCCAGACAGATCAATTGCAGCAACCCTGGGACCCATCAGCAGGAGCTGAGGCCAGAGGACGGGCCCATCCAAATGAATGAGTGAGTGGGTAAATGAATGAGTGAATGAACACATCTTGTTTGAGAGATCCATGGGCATCTAAACAGCACTGGTAAAAGGAAGAGTGAACCGTGCCTAAACACAATGTCAACAGAGGAAGACTCACCTCGGGCTTGAGAGGAAGTCGCACAGCTCGGCCCAGCACCCACTCATCTTCATGTGCCATGGCAGCTCTTGGTACACTCTCCAGAAAGTGCTTTGCTGCTGGAAATATCTGATCAAGACTTGGTGAAAATGGGTTTTCTTGTAGTTCGCTGGGTTCCGAAATGTGTACGAACTGCTTTCTCTGACAGGAGTGATTGCTCCTATTTAAAAATCAAGTACAGATTAACACATCTGACTTTTTAGTGTATAGAACTACTATGGCAAAAATATGACAGCTCTGTGGCCATAGTTAAAGAAATAAAAGTCAAGGGAGCTAAAAAAAAATTGTGTCTTATACATAAGCCTAAATTTACCAAAGGATTAATTAGTTACAGTTATGATCACTGACCTAGAATTTGAAGTTTATGAGCATGTTGATTTTTCATGCCAAATCTTCCCCCTCCTCCAAGGAATGTCTGAAACCCACTTTTCTATTTTAAATATGCACAATGGTTACTGCTTATATAAGCACTTCTAAACATTTGAAGACGTACATTTTGGAACAATCTATTGCCTGCATATAGGCCAGGGAGTAGCTGAGCAAACAAATGGTAAGTTCAGTGTTGGAACCAGAATTTCTACATCTTCATTTCTAAAGAGGAAAAGTTCTGGTAGATCATACTACCTAGAAATAAACATCTTGAAAAACAAAAGTGTTTTATTTAATTAAATCCTAGTGATAGCTATCTTTGAAAACTAAAATAGAAGCATTTTTAAATTTTCTGCTTGTTGGTTGAGTACAGTGGCTCATGCCTGCAATCCTAGCACTTTAGGAGGCCAAGTCAGGTGGATCTCTTGAGGCCAAGAGTTTGAGACCAGCCGGGCTCGGTGGCTCAGCCTGTAATCCCGCGCCTTTGGGAGGCTGAGGTGAGTGGATTGCCTGAGCCCGCGGGTTCGAGACCCGCCTGGGCAGCGAGACCTCAT